GCTGGAGTAGCTGGGCTCTCCCTTTCCCTCTCCCCCACACTTAATCAGATACTGAATTCTGGCCCTCCGTACCTTTGGCACCTCCGCCCACCTTGTCCAGCCCAAGAGCAGGCTGTCTTTCTCCCTCCCACCACTCCTCCGGCTCCAGCTGGCAGCCCCCTCCCTCCTCCAGCCCCCCCCCCCCCCAGGATAATACTCCCAGTGCAGGGATGCTTAGCCATCTCCTGCTTAACCCCTGGCAGTATCTTTCCACTGACCCTAGTGTAAACCCCAAAGTCATTAAGAGGCTGTTTACAGGGCCCTGATCTTGCTCCGCCCACATCTTCTGTCACTCTCAGCCTTACTTCCCAAGCTCCAGTCACCTAGCATTCTGTTTGTTTCCTAACATACACCCAGACTTTCAATTCAGGCCAGAGGGTCTTCCCACTAACTGATCCTTATTCTTTTCTCCCTTCTACCCAGCCTACCCTCTAATCATCTTATGGTTTTATCTAAAATGTCACTTCCTACCCTGGCTGGTTTGTTCAGTGGTTAGAGCATTGGTCTGCAGACCAAAGAGTTGCAGGTTCGATTCTGGTCAAGGGCATGTATCTTGATTGTAGATTCGGCCCTGAGACACGTAGGTATTTCTTTCTCTCTCTCCCTCCCTCCCACTCTATCTAAAAAAACCCAAAAAATCAATGGAGCTCGGCCGGTGTGGCTCAGTGGATTGAGTGGCTCCCATGGACTGAGAGGTCCTGGTTCGATTCCTCCTGATCAGGGCACATGCCTGGGTTGTGGGCTCGATCCCCAGTAGAAAGCATGCAGGAGGCAGTTGATGGATGTTTCTCACATGATGTTTCTATCTCTCTCCCTTCCTCTTTCTCTAAAAAAATCAACTAAAAAAAAAAATCAATGGAGCCCTGGCCAGTTCAGCTCAGCAGTTACACTGTTGGCCTGTGGACCAGAGAGGCCGGGTTCAGTTCCCGCTAAGGGCAGTTACCTCAGTTGCAGTTTGTCCCCAGCCTCAGTTGGGGTTGTGTGGGTGGCAACCAGTCGATGATGTGTCTCTCTCACATCAATGTTTCTCCCCCCCGCCCCCTGCTCTGTCTGAAGATAAGTGCAAAATGTCCTCAGGTGAGGATAAAAAAAATTTTTTTTTAATCAATGGAAAAATATCCTCTGGTGGGGATTAAAATTTTTTTTAAATAGCCCTGGCCGGTTTGGCTCAGTGGTTGGAGCATCGGCCTATGGATCAGAGAGTCCCGGGTTTGGTTTCTGCTAGGCGCATATACAAAAATAAAAAATAAAGAACACTCCCTGCCTTGGGGAATAAAAAAAATTTTTTTAAATAAAATAAAATGTCACTTCCTGATCCCATTTTTATTACTTTTTATTATTAATTACCAGGTGTAGTCTTTGAAAACCTCCCTCTCTTCTAATCTGCTTCACTTTTTTAAAAAAATATTTTTTCTTTATTGATATTAGAGAGAGAGGAAAGGAGAGGGAGAGAGAGATAAAAACATCGATAAGAGAGAACATCGATTGGCCACCTCCTACATGCCCACCACTGGGGATCGGGCCCACAGCCTGGTCATGTTCCCTTGCCAGGAATCGAACTGGCAACCTCTTGGTGCATGGGTCAACACTCAACCAGTGAGCCACACTGGCCAGGCTGCCTCACTTTCTATATCCCTGACCTCCAGCCAAATGCAGATCTCCTAGGAACTCCAAGGGCCCGTAGAGGATGGCAGAGCCACAAGATAGAAAGAGCCTGGGTTCTCCAATAATCAGGTGGGAGCTTGCCCTCCAGTTGTTCCTCTTTCTGTCAATGAGATCTATTATGTGTCGTTGTGTAAAAATTACCCCAGAACTCTGCAGTTTAAATTAAAAGAATTTATTATCTCTTTGTTCTATGGGTCAGGAATTCAGGAGCAACGTATTTGGGAGAGAGAGACTCACAGTCACACATGAGGTTGCAGTCAAGATGCTGGCCAGCCCTGGCCAGTTTGGCTCAGAGGTTGGAGCGTTGGCCTGCAGTCCGGAGAGACCTGTGTTTGGTTCCCGCTAAGGGCATGTACCTCAGTTGCAGTTTGTCCCTGAACCCGGTTGGGGTCATGTGGGTGGCAGCCAGTCGATGTGCTGCAGGTGCCTGAAGGTTTGGCTGGGGCTGGAGGATTGCCTTCCCAGGGGGCTCACTCACATGACTGTTGGCTACAAGCCTCTGTTCCTCACCACATGGACTTGTCCATAGGGCTGCTTGAGTGTCTTCATCCAAAGCAAGTGACCTAGGACAAAGAGCAAGCAGGAAGCCAAAGAACCCTTTGTGACCAGGTCTCTGAAGTCGCACACCATCACTTTCATTGTATTATATTCATTAGACGTGAGTCCAGCTGACACTCAAGGGGAGAGGAATTAGGGTCCACCTAATGGGGAGGAGTCTGTGGTTACATATTTTCCTTTTATTTCTTTATATGGTTTATTTGTATCTTAACTTTATTTTCTGGATCACTTTTGCCAGAGGTTTGTCTATTTTAATAGCTTATTCAAAGAGCCAGTTTTGACTTTGTTAATCATCTCTATTTTAGCTGTATCTATTTTATTAATTTTTATCTTTGTCATTTCCTTGCCTTTTATTGATATAATTCATATTCCATAATGTTCACCATTTTAAAGTATACAATTCAGCCCTGGCTGGTTTGGCTCAGCGGTTAAGAGCGTCAGCCTGCGGACCAGAGAGTCCCAGGTTCGATTCCGCTAAGGGCATGTACCTCAATTGTGGTTTGTCCCCAGCCCTGATTGGGGTCGTGTGGGTGGCAACCAGTTGATGTGTCTCTCTCACATTGATGTTTCTCTCCCCCACCCCCCCCTTCCTCCTGCTCTATCTGAAGATAAATGCAAAAATGTCCTCGGGTGAGGATTAAAAAAGAAAAGTGTACAATTCAGTGGCTTTAGGTATATTCACAAAGGTGTGAAACTGTCACCACTATCTACTCCAGAATATTTTTATCACCACCACCCCCAAAATACCCCATAGCCATTAGCAGTCACTTCCAATTCCCTATTCCACCAGCCCCTAGCAATGACTAACTACTTTCTATCTATATGAATTTTACTATTCTGGACATTTAAATTTTATTTTATTTTATTTTATTTTTTGGTACGTGCCCCTAGCAGGAACCGAACCTGGGACTCTCTGGTCCCCAGGCTGAGGTTCCAACTGCTGAGCCAAACCGACCAGGGCTGGACATTTAAAATAAATGGAATGATATAATATGTGGCCTTTTGTGTCTAGCTTCTTTCACTTAACCTGTTTTTAAGGTTCATAAATGTTGTAGCCTGTATCAGTACTTCATTGCTATTTATAGCTGAGTAATACTCCATTGTATGGATATATTACATTTTGTTTATCTACTCATGGACATTTGTGTTGTTTCCACTTACTGGCTATTATAAATAATGCTGATATGAATATTCGTATACAAGTGTTTGTGTGAACAGATGTTTTCAAATTGCTTGGATGAGAATTTCTGGGTCATATGGTAACTCTATGTTTAACTTATTGAGAAACTGCCAAACTGTTTTCCAAAGTATCTGTACTATTTTACCAGAAATGCATGAGGGAACCAATTTCTCAGAATCCTTCCTGACACTTGTTACTGTGTTTACTTATAATATCCTAGTGGGTGAGAAGTGGTCTCTCTTTGTGGTTTTGATTTGCATACCCATAATGTGCCTATTGGCCATTTTTATATCTTCTTTGAATAAGTTTCTATTCAAATCCTTTACCCATAAAATTGGGTTTCTTGTCTTTTTATTATTGAGGTATAAGAATTCCTTATATATTATAGATTCAAATACCTTATTAAAAATATGATTTGCAAATATTTTCTCCCATTCTGTGGGTTGTCTTTTTACTTTCTGAATGGTATCCTTTGAAAATTTTGATGAAGTCCAATTTATCTAGCTTTTCTTTTGTTGCTGTGCTTTGTGTCATATCCAAGAAACCATGATCTAACCCAAGGTCATGAAGATTTATGCTTAAGTTTTCTTCTAAGACTTTTACAACTTTAGGTCTTACATTTAGATCTTTGATCTGTTTTGAGCTAATGTCTGTGTATGGTGTAAGGTAGAGGTCCCAGCAGCATTTGTTGACAAGACTATTCTTTCCCCATTGCATTGTCTTGGCACCCTTGTTGATAATCAATTGACCATAAATGTATGAGTTTATTTCTAGACTTTTAATTCTACTCAATTGATTTATTTGTCTATCTTAATTAGTGTGGATTTGTATTAAGTTTTTTTTTTTTTCTATCCTCACCCAAGGACATTTTTACATTTTTATTTTCAGATAGAGCAGGAGAGAGAGAGAGAGAAACGCTGACGTGAGAGAGACACATGGAACAGTTGCCACCCACATGACCCCAACCAGACAGGGACAAACCACAACCGAGGTACGTGCCCCCAGCAGGAACCGAACCTGGGCCTCTCTGGTCCGCAGGCCGACGTTCTACCTGCTGTGCCAAACCGGCTAGGGCTGTAGTAAATTTTAAAATCAGAAAGTATAGCCCTGGCCGGTTTGGCTTAGCAGTTGGAGCGTCGGCCTGTGGACCAGAGAGTCCCGGGTTTGATTTCTGCTAGGGGCACATACCAAAAATAATAATAATAAGATAAAATAAAATAAAATCAGAAAGTATGAGTACTCCAACTTTATTTTTTTCAAAAACTGTTTTATCTATTCTGAATCTCATGCATTTCAATGTGAATTTTATTTATTTTATTTATTTATTTATTTATTTAATCCTCACCTGAGGATATTTTTGCATAGAGTGAGAGGGAGAGAGAGAAACATCGATGTGAGAGAGACACACTGACTGGTTGCCACCCACATGACCCCAACCGGGGCTGGGGACAAACTGCAACTGAAGTACATGCCCTTATTGGGAACCGAACCTGGGTCTCTCTGGACCTTGGGCTGACGCTCTAACCGCTGAGCCAAACCAGCCAGGGCTATTTATTTTTTAAGTATGGAATGTTTCACAAATTTGCGTGTCATCCTTGAGCAGGGACCATGCTAATCTCTGCATCCTTCCAATTTTAGTATATGTGCTGTGGAAGTGAGCAGTCTACATAATTTTAGGATCACCTTGTCAATTTTTGCAATAAAGACAGCTGGGATTTTGATAGGGACTATTGAATTTTTATTTTTTAAATATGTTTTTATTGATTTTAGAGAGAGAGGGTAGAAGGGAGAAACATCGACTGACTGCCTCCTGCACACCCCCTACTGGGGATCAAACCTGCAACTCCTGGCATGTGTCCTGACCTGGAATTGAACTGGTGATCTCATGGTGTATGGGGCAACGCTCAGTCAACTGAGCTACACTGGCCAGGCAAGGGACTATTGAAATTTTAGATCAGATTTGGGGGGTATTGCCATTGAACAATATTAAGTCTTTGAATCTATACATATGATGCATCTTTCCATTTATTTAGATCTTTAATTTCTTTCAGTGATGTTTTGTAATATTCAGTGTACCAATCTTATACTTATTTTGCTAAGTTTACTCTTAAGCATTTTTTGTGTGCATTATAAATGGAATTGTTTTCTTTTTCTTTTTCTTTTTTTTTAACCAGGGGAGAGCACAAACGCAGTTCCCCACTACCACAAATTATGCAGTCCAGTTTCCCACATTTGGGGAAATCGCAGGGGTCAGCACATCCGGAGTGCAATGGATAAGCCTTGCCCTGAGAAAACCACCTTCGTGATCATGGTATCTCTCCTGCCAGGTAAGTATTGGAATTGTTTTCTTGATTTCATTTTTGGTTTGTTCATTATTAGTGTATAAAAATATAGTTGATTTATTTTTTAAATCCTCACCGGAGGATATTTTTCCGTTTATTTTCAGACAGAGTGGGAGTAGGGAGCAAGAGAAATATTGACATGAAATAGACACATCGACCGGTTGCAGCCCGCAGGACCTGGACCAGGGCTGGCGAACCACAACTGAGGCATGTGCCCCTGACCGGAATGGAACCTGCGACTCCTTGGTCCGCCACTGATGCTCTAACCGCTGAGCCAAACCGGCCAGGACTACAGTTGATTTTTACATATTAATTTTCTATCCTGCAACCTTGCTGAACTCGTTTATTAACTCTGATAGTTGCTAGAAGGTCATAGATGGCTTCATGGAGAGTCAACTCAGTCACAGGTTACAAGCTAAACTGATTAGGTTAAGGTAACATGTATCAGTACCTCATTCAATGGTAGTTAACAGGTGGTGGTGAAGGTAACTAAAACCAACAGGATGGAACTCAATGCTAATCCCAGGACAGGTCTTGTTAAATCTCTGGACCTCAATTATCTCACGTATGAAATGAGAATGGCACCACCTAACTCATAAACTTTAATGATGGATAATAAATGAGATGACAAAATTGCAAGGCATAAAGTGGGTGCATTAGCTTCAGTCTGCCAATGAACAGACTGAGTTGGCACAAACTTAAATACCAGGCTGCACGAGAGGAGAGGGAGCTGTGCCTATGGCCCAGAACTGAACAGAACAAGGACAGTAAAGCTACAGGGAGGCTTGCGGGAATGCAGCACTGAAGTCAACCCTTTTGAACAGAACATTCCTATCCCAAGATTATCCGGCATTAAAGATCTGCCTTCTCCCGCACATCTGACTGCCCCTCCCATACGTACCACAGCTAACGTTCCCCCAAGGCAGACTCTGATCACCCACCCGCCCACGGACAGCGTCTTCCCACTCTCCGCCCACTGGGGTGGAACTTAGACCTAGGCAACGCTGCCTTCCGCCCCTAGCAACCGCTCACCTGCTTTTCTCTTCCTATAGGCCAGCACATTTCCTTTATTTTTCTTACTGGTCCGCGTAACTATAGCTCGACCAATCACTAGCAGCCACGGGGACCCAACTCATTCCCACACAATTTGGGGTGATCTTGGAAGAGACAAATTTTTTCTTTTCTGAATTTCGTTTTCCAAGAAAGCATCTTATTTCCCAAGCTATTGTGAAGCCCCCTGTAATGAGTTTCTAAAACATTTTGTCTTAGGCCTGTATGTCTAGCCCTTGCCTACTCCCCACGTCCAGTGGTACGGCCCACATAATGCTCCACCTTCCAGGCACTTTGAGAGCCGGAGTCCTCCGCTAGGTAAGAGGCTAGTCAGCGGAGGAGACGATACCATCTGTGACTAATAAATAGGGGGACTCTAACCATCCTCCGGGTTGCCCTGTCCGACCCCGGCCACCTATTGCATCGCTTGCTCGAACCGTGGGCACGAACCCCAGATATGGTGATAGGACAACTGCTCCCAGCACCAAGAAAGGCACGCGATGTGGACAAGAGAAGGGTGCACTTGGTACGGCTCACGCCGCGCCCCGCGCTTCCGGAAGTGAGGTGTCTCACCCTCGAAGTTCCGGCTAGCAGGGGGTGGAGGAGTGTTGTTAACCGGGACGCCTCCGCAGTCGTGGGGTTTGAGCGGGCTCGCGGCGTTGGGCTCCTGGTGAGTGGGCCGGGACCCGGTCCGGGTTGTGGTTGGAGTTGGGACCTGGACCTTCCCCTCGAGGTGTCCGGGGTCGGCGCGCCCCTGGCCCGCCGCTCGCTTTCGGTCAGTCAGCTGGCGGTAGACCACAGGCGCCCGCGCGGCCGCTCTCTCTGAGCCTGGGCCCCGCCTGCGACGCTCGCAGCTTCTGGCGCTTACAGGTGCGCGATCGCGGGGCGACCCAGGTCTCTCTCAGTCCCGCCACTGCATCCTGTCGGTCGGCCGTTTCTCCGGTGCCTCTAGTTGACACTGCCCCGGGAGTTGGGGAGCACCAAGGTTCCAGACTGACGGACCCCGCCCGCTCCCGCGGGGCGCGTGTCGGAGCTGCCCACCCTGGCAGAGCTGTCACCGGCCCGGCTGCGCCCCCCAGCGCCTTGGCTTCTCCCAGCCCAGGCCGCACGTTCCCGCTGCTGGAGATGACTTTTGCATCCCACGCGTCATCTTAACTTTAGGGTCAGTGGTAGCAGTTCTCCCCCCTCCAACATTGCTGCCTTAACTCATTCCTCCCTAGGGGCAGCGGCTTGGCAGGCAGAGAGGAAGGAGCCCTAGATTTGAAACAAGACTGACCCAGGCTCCAGAGCCTGCGTCAGTGGGATCACTTAACCACTTTGAGTCTCAGTTTTCTATTTGTAAAATGGGGGAGCATATGCTATTCTTGACGTGTGATGATTGTAAGGGTGAAGCGAGCTTTTCTTTCTTCTGTTTACTGACTAGGCGTTTCCAGCACTAGTTAGGTTTGCACCATATGGGCATCACACAAGTGAGTCTTTCCTTTCCCCATGCAGGTTTCCAGGCCAGGGCAATGTTCCGCACCGCAGTGATGATGGCGGCCAGCCTGGCGCTGACCGGAGCAGTGGTGGCTCATGCCTACTACCTCAAGCACCAGTTCTACCCCACTGTGGTGTACTTGACCAAATCCAGCCCGAGCATGGCAGTGAGTTGAGGGCTCAGGGAGAGAGGAACTCCTGGGAGGGAAGGAGGAGGTTGCTTGAGACGGGGGTGGGGCTAGAGATCAGGTAAGTAAGAGAAGTGAAGTAGCCACCAGCTGCCTAACTTTGAATAAATTGTGATGGGGTGTGTGTGTGTGTGTGTGTGTGTGTGTGTGTGTTGGGGGCGGGGGTTTTCTGAATGATGAGCGCAAGGCAGAGCAAATCCAGAGCTGACCTCAAACCACAGCCCCTCTTTACTCCTAGGTCCTGTACATCCAGGCCTTTGTTCTTGTCTTCCTTTTGGGCAAGGTGATGGGCAAGGTGTTCTTTGGACAGCTGAGGGCAGCAGAGATGGAGGTAAGGTGTTTGTGGCCCCAAAGGTGAGGGCCAGGGAGCTAGGCAAGAAGAATGTCTTGAGTTCCACATCATGCCTTGCCCAATCCCCAGCACCTTCTGGAACGTTCCTGGTATGCAGTCACTGAGACTTGTCTGGCCTTCACTGTCTTTCGGGATGACTTCAGCCCCCGTTTTGTTGCGCTCTTCACTCTCCTTCTCTTCCTCAAGTGTTTTCATTGGCTGGCTGAGGACCGTGTGGATTTTGTGAGTGGGGGGGGTCTCTGGAGCAGACAGAAGCCAGAATGGGGGCAGTGGGCAGGCTTGTGGAGTGAGGGCTGGGTTGGGGACGCGGGGTGAGCCCCAGCCTTCTTGACAGGACCTCTCTCTGCTCTGACTCAGATGGAACGCAGCCCCAATATCTCCTGGCTCTTTCACTGCCGCATTGTCTGTGAGTGAGACCCATACGAGGGAAGAGGAGGGAGCTGGAGGGAGAAGAGGCACCATGGAGGATTGGAACATGAAAAGTCACTAACCATGGACCTGTACTCTAGAGCACAGGCTGCCCCCTCAGCCACAGCTGTACAGGAAAGATAATTTAGGAAATTAATTTGCATCATCTCTGTCCTGTTCCACTCCAGAGCTTCTCAACTGCCTGGCCCCTTGGCTCTTTGCCTCCTCACCTGGAGCTTGGGCTGCCCCAGTGCCCCACTAGGCAGAATTGGAGTTCCCAGGGGGCCGGGTCCAGTGGTGTGTGCCCACCTGACTAGAGGCTGGGACCATGGTGGGCTTGAGGGTGGGAGCTTAGAGCAGGAAGTGGCTGCCAGGCCCTGGGCTGACCCCTCCAACCCCCCATTTGGGGGGTCCCCACAGCCCTTATGTTCCTCCTGGGTATCCTGGACTTCCTCTTCGTCAGCCATGCCTATCACAGCATCCTGACCCGAGGGGCCTCGGTGCAGCTGGTGTTTGGCTTTGAGGTAAAACTGGCTTGGGAGGTTGGGAGGACAAGCCTGAGGTGGCACTGCATGTGCCTTGAATAACCCAACAAATCCTTTACTGAGCTCCTGCTCTATGGCCAGTGCCATGCGGCCCACCAAGGAGAACCATCACTCAGTCCCAGCCCTCTACACACCCACTCCTAGGAGAGTGGGGAAGGCACAGAAAGGCGCCTGTGAAGGAGGAGTCCTGACCTGGTGCTCAGGGAAGGCTTCCTGGAAATTGATGCCAGAGAAGCTGCTGTTGATGAACAGAAGGAATTAGCTTGATGGACAACTGGGGAGGTGTGTCCCTGGCAGAGGAAGAATGTGTTCATTGACAACAGCTTGCTTTGTTGAGTGCTTATTGTATGTCAGGCCCTGTGCTGAGCACTTGACCTGCATCTCTTTTACTCAGCAAAGCAACATTGTTATAAAGGAACAGTTCTGTCATTTTACAGACAAGCAAACTAGTTCAGAGAGGTCTAATGGGATGCCATAAGTCACACCAGCTAGTGCGTGGAGAGGCTAGGAAGACCCTGGCTGTGTCCAAGCCTGTGCTTGTACTGTTGCACCCTGCTGTTCAGAGGCCTGGGGTAGGAATGTGGCTAGAGCAAGGACGGGCTGCATGCTTATGCCTCCTCCCTCCAGTATGCCATCCTGATGACTATGGTGCTCACCATCTTCATCAAGTACGTGCTGCACTCCGTGGACCTCCAGAGTGAAAACCCGTGGGACAATAAGGCCGTGTACATGCTCTACACAGAGCTGTTTACAGGTGAAAGAGCCTGGGCCTCCCCTGACCTGGACTAATGTCCTTGGCTCTACCTCCCAGGCTCTGTGACCTGCTGCTCTCTGCATACCCTTTCCCCCCCACCAGGCTTCATCAAGGTTCTGCTTTACATGGCTTTCATGACCATCATGATCAAGGTGCATACATTCCCTCTGTTTGCCATCCGGCCTATGTACCTGGCCATGAGGTGAGTCCAGCTGAGCCATGCCCTGCCATACCCCTGACACCTATTTGATCCCTCCCCTCTCCCCCAACTCACACTGAAACTGTCCTTTCAGGCAGTTCAAGAAAGCTGTGACAGATGCCATCATGTCTCGCCGAGCTATCCGTAACATGAACACACTGTGAGTGGGCCTGTACTAGATGCTCTCCTAAGCTCTGCCCTAGCTGCGATCCTCCAGCCTCCAGCTCTGGTCTTGATATGTCCTTGGCCTGTTCTAACCAGGTACCCAGATGCCACCCCAGAGGAACTCCAGGCAATGGACAATGTATGCATCATCTGTCGAGAAGAGATGGTGACTGGTGCCAAGAGACTGCCCTGCAACCACATTTTCCATACCAGGTGGGAGGGGCCCTGGGAAACCTGCACATCAGGGGACAGGCTCTGGGAGAGAGGTCCCTAGGGACCTGCTGACCATTGCCTGGCCCTGACCCTCAGCTGCCTGCGCTCCTGGTTCCAGCGGCAGCAGACCTGCCCTACTTGCCGTATGGATGTCCTTCGTGCATCACTACCAACCCAGTCACCACCACCCCCTGAACCTGCGGATCAGGGGCCACCACCTGCCCCCCACGCTCCACCACTCCTGCCCCAGCCCCCCAACTGTGAGTTGTCCCTCATTTGTCCTAATACACTGTTGAGCACTTTCCCTGGGCTGGGTATGGGAAATCAGAGTCCCTTGCCCACTAGAAGCTGTCTGGGTGGGGTGGAGTAGGGAGGTCAAGGAAAGAGACATAGATGGTCACATGTAGTCAGTGCTGAGCTCAGAGAGGACCTGTGGGAGCAGAGGACGTAGTGCCCAACAGTCAGCCCCTTGCCTGTGATTTGGACCTTTTCTCACTACCTCCTATCCTCTCTGCAGTCCCCCAGGGCCTCCTGCCTCCCTTTCCTCCAGGCATGTTCCCGCTGTGGCCCCCCATGGGCCCCTTTCCACCTGTCCCACCTCCCCCCAGCTCAGGAGAGGCTGCGGCCCCTCCATCCACCAGTGCAGGTGAGCCTTTTGGGTACTGCGACAACCAGGGAGGTGGGAGGAATGGAAGCAGAGGCCCCTCGACACTCACAGACTTCCTGTTCTTGCTCTTTAGCAGCCCTTTCTCGGCCCAGTGGAGCAGCCACAACCACAGCTGCTTCTGCGGCCTCTGCCCCAGCACCTGGCTCTGCCCCCACCTCTGAGGCTGCCCCTGCCCCAGGCTTCCCTTTCCCCCCTCCCTGGATGGGCATGCCGCTGCCACCACCTTTTGGTAAGCAGGGCCACTCTCAGGGTTATTCTGGGGGGTGGAAGGGTGTCAGGCCCAGACAACCCAGCCTAAGCCTCTACCTCTCTCTAGCCTTCCCCCCAATGCCTGTGCCCCCAGCTGGCTTTGCTGGGCTGACCCCAGAAGAGCTGCGGGCTCTGGAAGGCCATGAGCGGCAGCACCTGGAGGCTCGGCTACAGAGCCTGCGCAACATCCACACGCTGCTGGATGCTGCCATGCTGCAGATCAACCAGTACCTCACTGTGCTCGCCTCCTTGGGGTACGTCTGCACAGGGGACCAGGGTGGGCAGCAGGGGCATGGAACTGCCAGAAGGATCCCAGCAGTGGTTCTTGGGCTTTTTATCTTGTGCCATCCTGTGATACCTGTCAATTCAGACCACATACCTCTCCATCAGCCCACTCACCACCCATCCAGTCAGGGTTCCTGGTGCCTTTTTATCCTCCCACTGCAGAAGGCCTGTCTGGGTCTCGTAGGAGTGAGGATTATTAGCTGACATGTGGTGACACTGTGACTAGGACTCAGTGCCTCTGATCTGAGACAGCAAATAGTCACTTGGAGCCAGCCTGGCCCAAATTCAGGTTCTGGTCCCATTATGCACATGCTTTGTGACCACCATTATCTTATTCAAGTAGAAAACGTTCTCATTCCTATTCACAGGCACATGTACAAAGTGCTTGGCACCCGCTCTGGCCGGTTTGGCTCAGCAGTTAGAGCGTCAGCCCACAGACTGATGAGTCGTGGGTTCAATTCCCGTCAAGGGCATGTACCTCGGTTCATCCCGGCCCTGGTTGGGGTTGTGCGGGAGGCAACCAGTCGATGTGTCCCTCTCACGTCGATGTTTCTCTTTCTCTCTTCCCCTCCCACTCTATCTGAACAAAGATGGAAAAATATCCTCGATGAGGATTTTTTTAAAAAGTGTCTCCCCCCCCCCCAACAATGACAGCGTGGGCATGGAGGGGAGCTTGAGTCTGAGACCTGAGTGCTCTGTTTTATTCAGTCAGATGTCTTAGTAGGTACCTTAAAAGGTGCCTGGCACCCCAAGGTGGAGGCTCTGCAGTGTAACAGTGAACAGGCCTATAGTCCCTGCCTACAAGTGGTTCATAATCAGTCTATGGTATGGAATCGCAAGAGTTCCTACATATGTTCACTCATGTCTGATGGTCACTGGGCTGCAGAGGCTCACCAAAGACAGGAGAATCCGCCCAGTTATGCCAGGATGCCAAAGTTGGCTCACCTCTTGTCCCTTCTCTTCCTAGGCCCCCCCGGCCTGCCACCTCAGTCAACCCTCCTGAGGAGACTGCCCCTACAGTTGCTGCTGCCTCCTCCACCAGCATCCCCAGCCCTGAGGCCACCCCATCTCCAGGAGCTTCCCCACCAGCCCCTGAATCTGAAAAGCCTCCAGGTAGCTGTGGTCAGCCTGCAGGGGGGTAGGGCAGGGGACTTCTCTGTGTTCCACTTCTGACCTTTTGTCCCCAGCACCAGAGCCATTGGGCACCGAAGAGCTGCCTGAGGATGGGGGGCCTGATGCAGCAGAACTCCGCCGCCGCCGCCTGCAAAAGTTGGAGTCCCCTGTTGCCCACTGACATTGCCCCAGTCCTGGCCCCTGCTCCCACTCTCTTCGAGCAGACCTTGCTGGAACATGTCCTGCCACCAAGTGCCAGCTCCCTCTCTACCTGTACCAGGGAGTAGTAACCCCCAGCTGAGACAGAGGAGGTGGCATCCTCTAGGCCAAGTGGAAACAGGCCTAAGGCCCCAGGTGACTCCAGCCCTTACAGTCCTGGGCAGCCATGGGGATCCTGAGTCAGTTCCAGCCTTCTTCTCCAACCCTTCAGCCATGTGTTCTGCTGGGGCCATGAAGACAGAACAGCACAGCCTCTGAGAAGCCCTGTCCCCCCACCCATTTCTGGGAGAAGGGGCAGCCCCTCTGAGCCCCACTTGTGTGTATGGAGTCACACTGCAGTACCAAACAGTATTAGCTCCCATTCCAAAGTGTGGACTTGAGGGGCTGGGGGCAGGCCATGAACTTGCTCCCTGGCCTACCAACCAAGACTGGTACCGATGTCCTATTCTTACCCTAAACTCCCCGGAAGCCCTTTGTGGTGGTGGCTGTGTCCCTTATGCCCTGTGACATTTCCATGTCTTACTGGCAACCACACAACTCAGGGAAAGGAGTGCCTGGGGGCGGAGAAGCAGGAGGGCAGCACTGAGGGACACTGCCTGCCAAGGCCCCTCTCTCCCTGTAGCTTGTAAAGTGAGACTCCCTGGTCTCACCCAGCAGCCACTGCCCAGCCTCACTCCAGGCCGAGGGCTTGTGTGTCTGCTCCGGAACCACTGCAAGACCCAGAATCTACGGAAGGCCACACTTCTCAACTTACAGAACTTTCTTTAAGTTTAGAAGAATTGGAATTACTTCCTTGCTATTTTCTTTGGCTTAAATTTGTTTTTGAATTTGAATGCTTGACCCCAGGAAAAAGGAGCCAAGAGTGTCAGGCTCCTGGTCTTTCCAGTTCAGAAAAGGTTCTGGGCCAGGTTGGGAACACAGGAGCCAAGGCCTGCCTGTCCCTGTCTCCACCCCCCACCCCCTTGGTTTTGTGTTACGTGAGTTGCTGGAGAGTTTCAGATGATTATTTAATTTGTAAATATTGTACAAATTTTAATAGCTTAAATTGTATATACAGCCAAATAAAAACTTGCATTAACAATTGGTAGAGCTGGTGTCATAGGATCAGTGTGCCGGGTTCCTTTTTCTTGCTCAGGCTGTAGACTTGAGAGTGACCTGGAATCTCTAGGACTGAGTTTATTTATGCAAGCCAGCACTATTCTTGGGCGCTGTTATTAAACTAACAGGAAAATATACCCATATTACATGTGAAAAAACTTAAGTCCCAAAGGTTAAGTACCCTGCCTTAGGTCAGAGACCAAGTAAGGAAGCCAGGCTCTGAAGCCTGTCTTAGCCAGTCTGATGCTGGGGTGGGGGTGGAGACTCAGGCTTTTAGCCCTTGTGACAGGACAAGTGTGAAGATTCATTGGCTGGGGGTGGAATGGGGTAGCAGGCCAGCATCTTCTTACCTGCACACACCCCTGTCCAGCCTTGATACCAGGTCAGCAAGCAGGAAAGCATGGCCCTGTGCTGGGCTGGTAGCAGCTCCCAAGCACCCTCTTGTGGGTAGACGGGCTACAGCAAATCACTTAGATGAGTGGAGATGGAAACAATCAGGCTCAATTCTAGTCTGAATGGAGCAGAGGTGATTGGGCCTTCTACCTCACCATGGGTAACAAGAATGAACTCAGGCTGACATGGACATGCTGTCCCCTTGTGTCCAGCAATGCACTTGGAACTGAAGACTTCTAGTACCCACGTCAGGCATCTGTATTCTCTGTAGCCTCCACCAAGCCAGGTCTGGCCTCGAGCAAGGGCTTGGGAATATTTGCAGCAGTGAGTGTGAGGGCCAAGGACGGAAGATGCCCAATAGGTCTATCCTGTACTACCCTCCCCTAAACTTGGTTGGGGTATCACTTCCACCAGAAGGGTAGTCAACAACCTCCAGAATTTGAATAACTGACTCAAGGAGCTCCAATGAAGAAAAAGCAGGAACAAACTAAAATCAGGGGCAGGGGCGGGACAGCAACTAATGCCCCACCACTAACTCAGCTGTTTCTAGTGGGTCTCCAATATAAGATGTTACTCCCCCAGTGCTGGCACCTGTGCAGATGGTCCCGTTTCCCCCTTTATGTAAGCTAGGCCTACTCCAAAGCCCTTTAGCCCTCACCCTACCCTGCCCAAGCCCTTAGCCCTGGTCTCTGTACCCCAATCCTAGTTGCTCCAACACCATCTCCCCCCTCCTGAGATCCCCTGGATTCTAGTCTGTGGGGAACACCATCATGCAGGCTGCTCAGCTAGGCCTCAGAAGCCCTTCTCTAGGAGCCAGGTTTTTAGTTGCTGGTCAAAGTAGCCCTTGACCCGCAGGGTACCTGTCACCTCATTGACCTGGGTGATAGGTGTCTTCCCCAGCAGGGGGCTCAGAAAATCTTCCACATCCTTCTGCAGGGCCTGGAGGAAAATGACAAATCAGGCCTGGTCAGGAGACCATCACCTCTAGCGGATTCCCATCCCATCAGGTCTAAAAAGATCACAATTAGACCCTGACCCACCCACACACTTACCCAAATGTCTCCCTCCACCTTGCGGATCACAGTCATCTGGCGGTTGCCATGTGTGATATCCTTATAGACAGGGATGTTGTGCATCCGAGAACGCCGCACATAGTAAGGCAGGTTGGGTGGAGGATCTGGGACAGGGAAGGATGGAAATAAGCCAAATCTTCCCAGGTTTCATCCCACCTCAGCCAAGGCCTTTCCCCTCAGAGTCTGCAGAGGATCAGTACCCTACAGCAAAGCCACCTCCAGACTTCAGGTCAGGAGACCTGCTCTTTCCCTAAGTTTAGAGCCAGGACACTAGTACCTCAACACCCAGCACAGGGCCTGGCACCAAAAGGTGCTTAAGGAAAAATTATGTCTCCGTGGATCTTTGGGTCCTCCTATGGGGCCAATCCTTGCCCTTCTCTGTGTCAGGAAGACTAAAATGAATCTCTGGCACAAAGGATGAGGATTTCCAAGCATTGAACACCTATCACATGCTGGACTCTGCACTAAGTGCTTTATGTGCCAAGCAGATTATCTCCATTTTGCTGAAACTGAGGTTGGGAGAAGCTGACTAACTCAAGATCACACTGGCAATAAATAGTAGAGCCAAATTTAGACCCAGAACTGCTCAACTCCCAAGCTGTGTTCTCAGTTATGGTACATGGCCTCTTGGGGGTAGGGGTCCAAGCTCTTGGGTCTTCTCTCTATGCTTCACTTTTCCTGCATGGGAAGACCTTATCCCAATAGTGTAGATGGATGGTTCCTTGTAAAACAGGGCTTCTTGAATATGAGACAGATGCTAGTCCTGTGAGAGCTCAACACAAGTCCTGAACCCACTGAGTTCAGAGTCTCAGCCTGAGCAGGCCAACCACTAAGAAGGAGTACCTCCTTGCAGCCTCTAAGCCATCCCCACCATCCAGCTCACCTCTAGGGGGCTGCCAGCCACTAGGAGTAGGATAATGTTCATGCTTTGGGGGCTTTGGGATGGTGGTGGGGGGTAACAGGCGCTCCACAAACTGGTATTCATCCACAGACTCCACGAAGTTGGGGTAATTGGGAGGTCCCTGGGTCTGGCTCTGGCTCTGGCTCTGAGGCAAAAACAAAAAAGCAACCATCTCTCCATCAGCCCACTCACCACCCACACAACACAGGATAGACAGAACTTTAGCAGAAGAGAAAATTAACATTATAGGTGGAGAGAATGGCATAAATGGCTGGAAACAGGAAAGTATCAAGCTTCAGTTTGTCAGGGTGCCTTCTGAAGGGTCTGCCCCTCCTAGTCTCTCTTGGGACTCAAATGATGAGTGTGTGTACACTTCTAAAAAGCCAATTAACTGGAAGTCTGACCAATATGGCATATTTCAGTATTTAAAACTTTCTTTTAAATGTTCTACTGAAATGTTCTAGTTCTGGGTTAGGTACTTTCAGCAACCATGATAGTTTTCCATTCACATTCATCCTGTCGTGATCCTCCCTTACCTGGAAGGTTTCAGTATCATACACACACCATCTGACACTGTACTAAGTGCTTTTCACGTATTGTTTTCACTTAATTCTTATAAAGTGACAAGTTACCTATTGAATTACCCCCTTTTTTAATCCAAGGAAGATTAAGGCATTAAGCAGTCTACCTAAGGTCACACTGCAGTCTGTCCTCCCAACCTCCAGCCTTAAGATCCTTTTTGGACACTTCTCCCAACAGATACCATGGGGTCCTGATAGGCCCCGGGGTTACAATGAGCACAGGGAAGCAGGATGAAGTGGCCTGTACGTCATGAGTTCTGGGTTCCCAGAAATGTTGCCAATGATAGGACCGACCTGTGGTCCCTGTGGACCAGTTTCCCCTTCAAAAAATTAGACAGCGATAGTCGATGTACAGCCCCTCCCAGTTCTGACTAACCGGGGTTGCCCTCCAATCAAGTTCCAACTCTCACACCCCGAAACGGGCACCAGGTCCCTTCACCTTCCTTTTCAACCTTGTATCTCAACTATAAAAAAGGTCTCCCTGATCAGATGAGAAAACTAAAGCCCCAAGTAGGAACACGATTTTCAAGGTTACAAGGAATGACAGTGAGCCTCACACCCAGCCCTCTGCCCCTCGCTCCAATCTCTGTGCTCTCACCAGCCGCCGTAGCGCGCAGCCCGGCTGAACGCCGATTTTCCAGCCCCGCAGCGAAGCTCGGAACACGGCCGCGGCCATCTTGGGCTCCCCGGTAACTTCACTCTTCTGCGCGCGCAACCCGCCTACTCACGCTGCTTCCTGCGCACGCCTCTCGGGGCCAAAAGAACGCCTACGCGTAGCGTAATGGGCGGGGTTAAGGCGACCGTGGGCGGTACAAATAGCAGAGGCTAGCGTCGTCGCTCAGCAGTGACGTGAGACGCAGCAGGCGATTAGGACGTGTGCGCTCTTGTTCCTTCCTCTTTCTCGACTCCATCTTCGCGGTAGCGGCAGAGGCCGCAGTTCAGGTAGGGTTGGATGCACGGTTGACTCCGGAGGGCTTCATAGCAGGTTGGCTGCGAGGTCCGAGGGCACGGGAAAGGTAGAGGAAGAGGGGCTGCTCTGTGGGCGGGGTTCTTGTCCCCACCCGACCTCCTTAGCAGGCAGGCCCGGTCTTACCACGTGAGACCCGCGATCGTCCCCGGCCTGCCGCCGATTCCCCGATTCCCTTTCTCCCAGGATATTTCTTCTCTTACAAGCACTCCTTTTCCTCAGTCGCCGACATGCAGCTTTTTGTCCGCGCCCAGGAGCTACACACCCTCGAGGTGACCGGCCAGGAGACTGTCGCCCAGCTCAAGGTAAGGCTGCGTGGTGCTCCCCAGGCACCATCCTGTTGTGTTCTTTAATCTCGCTTCCTGTGGGAACGCTAATGAGCCTCATTTTTGCCTGTAGGCTCATGTAGCTTCGCTGGAGGGCATCGCTCCAGAAGATCAAGTCGTGCTCCTGGCAGGCACGCCCCTAGAGGATGAGGCTACCCTGGGCCAGTGTGGGGTGGAGGCTCTGACCACTCTGGAAGTAGCCGGCCGTATGCTTGGAGGTGAGCTGGGGAGGACCGTCTGTCCTTTGAACTGTTTGGAAGCTCCTAATGGGTATAGCGATCAGTGTCCTCAATTCATGGTGGTTCTTTCTGTTTACCTCAGAATTCTAACTCTTCAGAGATCCCTGGAAGACTGCGCCAGAGTATAGTTCTATTCCAGTCACTTACTATACCCTGTCTGTTTCCCAGTTTTCTTACTAAAATTAGAAGATTAGACCAGATCCCCAAGGTGCGCTTCAGTTCTTGTTTAAAGTACAAGGCTTGAAAAATACTACAGTGAAACTCGGAACATACCAGACTAACATTCTGGGTCAGATGTCAAATCTCTGAAATTTTGTTTTCATTTCCTGTTGGACACAGCTTGCCTGTAAAGGCTTGAATTAAGGGAAAAAGAATCCTTGCTTTCCTAATCCTTGCTGTCCTCCTTTCCCACCACAGGTAAAGTCCATGGTTCCTTGGCCCGTGCTGGGAAAGTAAGAGGTCAGACCCCTAAGGTAAGTGAGAGTATTAGTGGTGTCCTTTAAACTTTTTTTCCTATCACAGAGAAGCCAAGACCCTTGGTTCTTGACCTGTCTTCTCTCTCTGTTGAGATGAGCCTGGGGAAAGATGGAAGAGGTCAACCAGGCTCTCATCAGCCTTTCCTTTTCCCAGGTGGCCAAACAGGAGAAAAAGAAGAAGAAGACTGGTCGGGCCAAGCGACGGATGCAGTACAACCGGCGTTTTGTCAATGTTGTGCCCACCTTTGGCAAGAAGAAGGGCCCCAATGCCAACTCTTAAGTCCGTTGTAATCTGGCTTTCTCTAATAAAGCCACTTAGCCTAGTCATCTTATTTCGTTTTCATTTGCAGGGCGTCGGAGAGATACAGCATCTAGGGGTGGTGGTATGTCCACTATAATAGTCTCATTTTGGTTTCTTGGCAGTGTCAAGTAAGGAAGAGGCAGAGGTCCTTGGCTGGTTGGGAAGTGGGGGGGGTGGTAAACTAAAAAAAAGATTTTCCATGAAAACCAGTAACAACAGGTGTTGATCCTTCTTTCAAATGTAGGGTTGGAGAAATTTTTTTTTTTTTTCTGGTTAAAGTCATTTATTGAATTTATTCATTTATTGATTTGACATACTTCCCACTCTAGTCTAGCACATGATACAATTGGGATAGGCCAGGTGCTGACACAGGAAATGAAGGGAACCCACAGCAGGGGTGGGGGAGGGGCTGCTTTGGGGGCTAGAGTAGAAGAGCCCCAGAGAGTTGGAGAAATTTCTGATTTCAAATAACTTGATAATACACCCAAATCCTTCTCTCTTTTTTGTTTTTGTTTTGTTCTTTTATTTTTTTTATCCTCACCTGAGGACATTTTTTTTGCATTTATCTTGAGAAAGAAACATCTCAACGCGAGAGAGGTACATCGACTGGTTGCCACCCACCTGATGCCAACTGGGGCTGGGGACAAACTGCAACTGAGGTACACGCCCTTAGCAGGAACCGAACCTGGGACTCTGGTCCACGGGCCGACGCTCTAACCACTGAGCAAAATCGGCCAGGACTGTTACTGTTCTTTTATTTATTTTTTTCTTTGTTGATGTTAGAGATAGTGGAAGGGAGAGAGAGGGGGATAGAAACATCGATGAGAGAACATTGATGGGCCGCTTCCTGAATGCTTCCAATTGGGGATTGGGCCCACAACCTGGGCATGTGCCCTGACTGGGAATTGAACCAGCGACCTCTTAGTGCATGGGTCGATGCTCAACCATTGAGCCACACCAGCTGGGCTACTGTTCTTTTAAACAGTAGATAGTAATCATTGTGGTTGGAGTTTTATAGAGGCAGCATTTGGAAGGAAGGGAGGAGTTCCAGTAGAAGAAATGTCAGGGAATGCCAATCTGTCCTTTCCCTGAATTTGGGACTGACTGTGGCTTTAGTGAGAGTCCAGAGCAGGAATTTGGAAAGTGTTGCCTGATTACATTGGCACTGGGGTGGTCTTGTTTGTACTTCTGATTGTATGGCTGATCTGTTGATTGTTTCACTGTTCCCAAAAGTTGAAAGTTGAGTTCTCAGACTGATTCAAGTTTGTAACACATGCATGCCCACACCTTCATTCAGCTAAGATATTTTTTTAACTGGCCGCTTCCTAGAATACAGTATACCATAGGGTAAAGAAAGAACTTGGGTTCTGGACTTAGACTGTCTTGAGTTTGAATCCTTGTTCCATTTGTAAATATTTAATCATCCTGACCAGGTAGCTCAGTTGGTTAGAGCATTATCCCGATACACCAAGCTTACGGGTTTGATCCCTCATCAGGGCACATACAAGAATCCACCAATGAGCCCTGGCCAGTTTGGCTCAGCGGTTAGAGCGTCAGCCCGAGGTCCAGAGAGACCCAGGTTCGGTTCCCACTAAGGGCACGTACCTCGGTTGCAGTTTGTCCCCAGCCCTGGTTGGTCATGTGGGTGGCAGCCACTTGATGTGTCCCTTTCACATCGATGTCTCTCTCGTCCTCTCTCCCTCCCACTGTATCTGAACAAAAAATGGAAAAATGTCCTCGGGTGAGGATTAAAACATAAAATAAAAGAATCCACAAATGAATGCATAAATAAGAGGAGCAACAAATGGATGTTTCTCTCCCCCTTCTCTAAAGTAAATTTAAAAAAATTAATAATAATCTCTTGACAGTTGCTGTGAAGATTAAATAAAGGATGGAAAGTGCTTAGATCAGCACTTACCACATAGTAGGTACAAATATATTGGCTGTTTTTATCTCTAGTTAGAAAGACCTGGCACCCTCCCTTCTAAGGATTGTGATTCACTGTGGGCAAAGTGAGGAAACTCCAAGTGTTATTAATAGCCTCAAAGGAAATAAAGTAGGGTTCTGTAATGAAGGGGGTTGGGTAGACAGACATACTATCCTAGGAAAGGTCTCAAGATGGGATGTGTGAGACCTGAAACGAGCTAATTGGGTGGTGACGTGGTGAAAGTTTCTGCGAAAGAACTGTGCAGTCAGACATGGAGAGGAGTTTGGGCCCAAGTGCAGTGAAGAGTCACTAAGGGCAGGGAAGGATTTTAAGCACAGTCTTGATGTGATCTGACTTGTAATCTAATATTTTCTCTGGTTGATTTTTCTGGTGGACGGGCAAGAAAGAGGAAACTAGTTAAGGTGGTGTCATCCAGTTGAGGGGCAAGGTGGTTAGACCACAGTGGTGGTGGGATGTAAAAAAATGAACAAACTTGACTGTTGCACTACTTCACTGATCAACTCACTTTAAACAGACGTAAAGGTCACCAAATCCACCTAGATCTTGGTAGGGAAATATATGATCCACATCGAAATAAATACAAGGTATTTTGAAGGCAGAACTGACTAGGTGGGATTGGATGGGAGTGAGGTGAGGGACCAAAGAACCAGAGCTTACTTTCATGGTGTCATGGATCAACTCAGTGCTTGTGGGTTAACGCCCCCACTCTGCCACAAACTGTAAGCTCCATTATGATAGAACCCCATCTATTTGCTCACTGTTTTGGGTACCTCGTGTGGAATCTGCATTTTAAGTTGGAGGAGGAAATCAAACAGGAGCTCAGATATTTGTTAAATGTTGCTTTGTTTTGAAGAGGGAAAATGCCGTCCACACACACCCAGTCTAGGCTAGGTACCCAATCTTGGCCTTTCCACTCTCCCCACTTTGTCCGTTTCCCTTAGTATCTCATTTCCCATGAACCTGGCACAAACAATGACCGACTTCTGCCTCTACGCTTTATAGTGCTAAGAAGGCAACCCACCAGGTAGCTAGCTGGTGCCGGCTAAAGGCGCCTTCCTACTTCACCCCGGCACGGCGGGGCTCTGTCCAACTGCTACTTGAGAGAGGGGTGGGGTTTGGGTTCCGAGTGTGGGCGGAAGTTGCCGAGAGTCTTCGGGAAGCTTTGACTCGGCCCTCCGTCGGCCCCAAGAGGCGGAAGTAACCGAGAAGCGCCGGAGGCTGCCGAGCTGCGGCCCCTGTGCGCTCGCGGGTGGCACGCGGAGCCAGTTGCCATGGAGCCGGCCGGGCCCTGCGGTTTCTGCCCGGCGGCCGAGGCCCGGCCAGCGCGCTACACCTGCCCCCGCTGTAATGTGCCCTACTGCTCACTGCGCTGCTACCGGGCGCATGGCTCCTGTGCCGAGGACTTCTACCGCGACCAGGTGCTGAGAGAGCTCCGCGGCCGCAGCGCCTCTCCCAGCCGCCTGGCCAGCGCCCTCCGCCGGCTGCGTCAGCAACGCGAGACCGAGGACGAGCCGGAGGACGCAGGCCTCAGACCTGGCCCGGCACCCGGCGGCCTCTTGGGGCTCTGGGAGCGACTAGCCCCGGCCGAGAAGGCGGCCTTCGAGCGGCTGCTGAACCGTGGCGAGGCCGGGCGGCTGCTGCCCCCGTGGCGGCCGTGGTGGTGGGGTAGCGGGACCGGGCCCCGACTTCTGGAGGAGCTGGATGATACCCCGGGCGGTGAGGCCGCGGAGCTGGAGCCCGCCCCTGCGAAGGCACCACCGGGACCCGTGAAGGATGCCGCTGCCGCGGGGTCCCCGGCCGCCGAGGAGACGGTTCTCCGAGACACCCCGGCGGCCTGCACCCCCGCCGTGCCCACCCGGATCCCCACGCTGGCCAGCTTGAGCCGCGGCCGGGCCTCGCCGCTCGTACGCTTCCAGCTGCCCAACGTGCTGTTCGCCTATGCACACACTCTTGTCCTGTATCACGGCGGCGACGACGCACTCCTCTCTGACTTCTGTGCCACGCTGCTCGGCGTTTCGGGAGCCCTGGGAGCCCAGCAGGTGTTTGCCTCTGCTGAAGAAGCCCTGCAGGCCGCAGCTCACGTGCTTGAAGCGGGCGAGCATCCCCCCGGACCGCTGGGCACACGGGGTGCCATGTGCGAGGCCGCCCGCATCCTGCTGGGCCAGGGCCCTGCCAACCAGAAGGGCTACACACTGGCAGCACTGGGGCACCTGGTGCAGACCCTGGGCCGGGCCCGGAAACAGGCTGAGACTACTGAAGAGCGAGATCGCCTCTACCGCGCCCGGAAGAAGTGCCAGTTCCTGCTGGCTTGGACCAACGAAAATGAGGTGGTCCTCCCAGCCCTGGCTCTGGACTGTGCCAGGGCCCACCGAGCTCACGCTGTGGCAGCCGAGGAGGTGGCAGCCCTCACTGGGGAGCTGGAGCGACTTTGGAGAGGTCCCCTACCACCTGCGCCGAGGACTCTCATTGAGGAACTCCCTGGCTGAACTGCGTGGACTCCTTGTCATCAATAAAGCTGTAAATGGTCTGAACTGTCGGCGGTGCCCATTTCTGAGAGACAGCTCTTGTTCCCACCCACCCCCAGACTCTGGGGCCCACAAATCTCTCAGCTTCTCCCCTATCAGGGCTGACCCAGCCGATGTGTAAACATCTGCCCCAGAAAGGGAGAGAAGTGGCACCAAGGGTTTCAGATGTTTATCCAAGAACAGAGCAACCCCTCCACTCCATTTTTGGGTACTGGTTTCATATTCTCCTTGCTCCAAACCACCTCTCTGAGGCTGTTCACCCCTGCCTGTTGGAGCTCAGGGCAGGATTGAGTACAGGCTTTTGAGTCCTAGGTGTGTCCAGGCTCCTGCTGCTGGGTGTACTGGCAGATGGATGGGCACGTGCCCTGTCGAGGTGGGTGGGGCCACTTCAGTAGATGTAGGGCACAATTCTGTAGGGCACACGCCGGCAATATTCGCGCCAGGCCAGGCCATACTTCTGCAGGCACTGCTGCTCGTCCCGGGCCTCGCGGTGCACCAGCAGTGCAGTGAAGTAGAGGAGGTAGAAGTAGGGCAGCAGGTGGGAAACCCCTGTGGGGAAGGGGGCTCTGTGACCACTCAGCCAGAACAAAGGTTTCCACACCTAGTTGAGAGGCATCAGGTTCATGGTTCATGGGGACATCAGGGCTCAGTGGTGGAAGGTCTAGGGTCTACACAGCAAGGGACCAACAGTGCTAGGCTGGCACAGAGGTCTGCCCCAGTTACATCCTGAGTCCATCTCCAGCTCCCTGACTACTCCCTCCACTGGGGTGCACCCCTGTTCTCCATTCTATACCCAGACTGAGTATCTTGTGGTTACCATTCTATCTCTGCCCCTCACACACAATGGAACCCCACCCTGTACCAACCCGAGCCACTCACCACAGGGCAAGGACCAGGCCAGAGCCATAATGAGGTCTCCAAGGTAGTTGGGATGGCGGACCATACCCCACCACCCAGACACTAACAGCTGCCTTCCCGTGGCTGTAGAGATGGTCTCAAGGCCTGGGAAAAAACAGGTAGTGGGATGGGAGACCCCCAGGAAGTCCAGCTGTCCCCACTCATGGCACCCTAGAAACCCAGCTCACCAGCCACTCTGGGGTCAGAAGGATTCTTTCGGAAGGTATTTTTCTGGGAATTGGCTCCTCGGAAGATACAGTAACCAACAGCTGGGGGAAAGCATGAGCAGGTAGTCAGGGTTGAGGGCCCCATCCTTCTGCCTGACCCCGATCATCCCCACACAGCCCAAACCCAGTCTGCCTGGACCCCAGGACCCAGCCCCAGCTTTAGAGAAGAGCCTGGCCGAGCACCTACCTACTGTGTGCTGAATAAACGAATGAATTAAAAGGGGAGGGAGAATGATGTACCCAGCCTGCTGCCCCTTCCTGACTGACCATTGATAAGGCAGATGACTGAGGCCATGGATAACTCCAGGGGCTGTGGGTGGTACAGCAGGAACTGGGCCTGCAGGCTGTAGGTGAAGGGTACCCAGGCTAGGTCCCCAAAGGCCAGCATGAAGCCAAACCCATCATGTGTGATATCCATGGTGGTGAGAACAGCTTCCTGCAGGGACAAGACCCAGACACAATGGCTTAGTCCCTGCAAGTTTCTCAGGTAACTTTCCCTACCTCCCCTGCCCAGTCCAACCTTACCTCATACCAGAGGGCATCACCCACATAGAGTAACTGGAAGCCATTGACAAGCCACATGGCAAGGGAGGGACTCCCCCGAAGTTCTGCTTCCTGCACCAGCAGGGCCAGGTTGATGAGGACCTGGAGGTTGGGAGAAGACAGGGTAGTCTGTTTCTAGCCTGTCTCCACGAAAGGGGCAGCACCTGAGCAGGGCACTGGCCAGCCTCTCCCCGTCTCTCTCTTAACTGTTAGTCATTAACTCCAGCTTTGTCAAATGGATGCAGCCCCCGTACCCAGGGGCGGAGAGCCTGCCATGGACCATCTCAGAGGCATTCCCAGCCTGTTTCTTCTTCCCTTGTCCTGTAGTATTCCCTTTGGGAGAGCAGCACAGGGAGTAAACGGGTGCTTCAGGCTTGAAAGTTAAAACAGACCTAGTTTTGAATCTTAGCTTCCCCACTTAGGCAAGTTGCTTACCCTCTCTAAAGCCCACCTTCTCCACCTCCATGTGGGAAATGGAGATAATTACAGACCTGCTTTGACCTGCTTCGTGGAGCTGCCTGAGGGCTCATTGACATGATGCATGTGAAGCACTAAGCACAGTGTGTCTGACACAGAGTAAGTACTCAATAATGGTGGCTGGCAGCCCGCCTGTACCAAGCACCCCCATCTAGCAGCAGTAGGTAGGTGCTATTATTAGGTTGCCACTTCTTTATTTATTTATTTATCTTTAATCCTCACCTGAGGATTTTTTTTTTTTTTTTTTTATCCTCACCTGAGGATATTTTTCCATATTTTGTACAGATAGAGTGGGAGGGAGAGAGGGGAAGGGAGAGAGAGAGAGAAACATCGACGTGAAGGGACACATCGAGTGGCTGCCACCCGCACGACCAACCAGGGCCAGGGACAAACTGCAACCGAAGTACGTGCCCTTAGCGGGAACCGAATCCGGGTCTCTCCAGACCGCAGGCCGACGCTCTAACCGCTGAGCCAAACCGGCCAGGGCAGGATTTTTTTTTTTTTACATTTATCTTCAGGCAGAGTGGGAGAGAGAGAGAGAAAGAGAGAGAGAGAGAGAGAAATATTGATGTGAGAGAGACACATTGACTGGCTGCCACCCGCATGACCCCAGTCAGGGCCAGGGACAAACAGCATCCAAGGTATGTGCCCTTGGCTGGAATCGAACCTGGGACTCTTTGGTCCGTGGGCCAACACTCTAACCGCTGAGCCAAACCGGCTAGGGCGTTACCACTTCTAATCCTTATAATAATCTTAGGAAGAAACTCTTGCTTTATCTCATTCCACACATCAGAACATAGCCTTGGAGGCTGGAATCCCGGGCGCTTGGCATGCCTCCTGTCTCTGGGTGAGGTTCCGAGGGATAGAAAGGACCTTTAGAAAATCCTGACCACAGTCTAGCACTGATTATAACCAAGAAAGAAGAAACACAGTTGGCATGTCAGTCAAAGACAACAGTGATATGTTGCTAAATCCAGTGATCAGTTCTAAGTTCTGCACTGCTTTGACTAGCAAGCAGCATAGGATCACTCTCTCTTCTCAAAATAGATTTTGCACTTGACTGCTTTATTTAAAATTGCACTTTGTGCCCTGGCCAGTTTGGCTCAGTGGTGAAAATGGCCCACGGATCAAAGAGTTGTAGGTTCAATTCTGGTCAAGGGTACGTACCTCGGTTGTGGCTCGACCCCGGCCCTGGTCGGGGTCGTGCGGGAGGCAACCAGTTGATGTGTCCCTCTCATATCAATGATTCCCTCTCCCCACCCCCATTCTGTCTGACGATAAATAGAAAAAATCCTCAGGTAAAGATTTAAAATAATAATAAAAATAAAATAATTGCACTTTGCCCTGGCTGGGTGGCTCAGTTGGCTGAAGCATCATCCCGTGCACCAAAAGATTGTGGGTTCAATTCCTGGTCAGGGTATGTACCTAAGTTGTGGGTTTGATCCCTGATCGGGGCACAAACGGGGAGGCAACCAATCAATGTTTCTCTCTCTCTCCCTTCTCTCTCTAAAATTCAATAGAAACATATAAGGTAAAGATTTAAAAAAATTACACCTTTCCTCCTTCCTTGCCTTGCTTTTCTCCACAGCACTCAGTGTTCCCTGACATGCTATATATACTTATTTTTGTCTTTCCCACTAGAATGTAGGCTCCATGAGGACAGATTTTTTTTTTCTGTAATTTTTTTTCTATTGTATCCCAGTACCTAGGACACGTTAGATTTGACAAATATTTGTGGAATGAATGAATGATTTATGTCTGTGAAATACTGGGCCTTGCCCTGCCCAAGAGCTGCTCACTCATCCCACCCCTCCTGCTGGCCCCAGTCCCGTTTAGCCATGCCCAGCATACCCAGCCGATGAGGCCAGGCCGCAGTTCGCAGAAATATTTGCAGTCGAAGGAACAGATGCGCGGGTTGAGCTCCCGTCCCAGGAAAAAGTCATAAATGGGATTGCCTGGAGAACAATGGAAGGTGAGGTGCAAGCAAACACCCCATCCCTCCATCCACACCCTACTGGAACCCCTCTCACCTGAGTTCCCCCCAGGGGCCAGGGCGGAAGCAGGGGCTATTAGAGCCTTCAGATAGAGAAGGAGACTGAAGATGAAGGCGGTGAGGGTGGCCACAAACGCCAAGGGCAGGAGCATTTCCGTGAGCATTCCCAGGGGCAGCCCAGCTGACACCCCCAGGCCCACCAACAGGGCTGTCAGCACCAGGGCCTGGAAGCCTGAACCCAGCACATAGTGAGTCCTGGGGACCGTACCCCACCCTCACCCCCACAATACACACAGCTCAAAGCCCAGGGAGGTCACAGATCTCGCCCCAAACCATTAGGCTGACATCTTGGCTTTTAGATCACCTCAGCAACTACTGTGGTGCAGAGGGGCAGCAAATGCTGTAGGAAGGGGTGGAGGGACAGGAGTGTGCAGAGGGCCAGCGAGATTCCCCCAGGTCTTTCCTGGGCAGAAGAGGCGAATAACGGAGCTCCGGGTCAGGGCTAATCCCACTAGACCTGGAGCTCCACCCCACCCCTGCAGCTCCAGCGAAAGGGTCTAGCCACAAGCACCGTTAATGGGGTAGCGCAGGCGAGTCTTGTCCTTCAATTCCTGGCCCTCGGCCATCTGCAGACACAAAGGGCTCTGATAAGGATTGAGGGTGCCTTTCTTCTCGCGGAGCCCTGCCCCACGCCCTCCTCCCCGACACGTCCGCGAACCGAGTCTACACCTTGCGCGCCGGCAGTAGGTAGAACGCCGCCTGCAGGCCAAGCCAGGTGAGCCACAGCAGCAGCGCCCAGGGGCTCCACAGAGCCTCGGGTCCCGGCAGGTAGGGGGGTAGGCCCAGGAGGCGCGCCGGCCCGGAGCGAGCCACCAAGAGCAGGTGGAACATGGTGGCAGGGAGCAGCAGCATCAGCGCCGCAGCGCCTGGGAAAGGGGGCGATCGCGTCGGGGGTCCGCTCCCCAACTCTTCCCTGACCCCCACAGGTACCCCATCATCACCAGGGACCCCTTAGCATTCCCATCGCCCTGTTCCACATCGCGTTCTCAGCCATCCGCACCCTTCCCTGACTTCCATCTCGGTCCCCGCCTCCAGGCTCCTTCCAAAACCCTCCTCCTGCTCCCTGGACTCTGTCCAGTTCTCCATTCCACAAATCCCCCGCTCTGCGCCCCCCAGAACTGGCTCCTCCTCAGATCCCTCTCCAGACACTTCCTCACAAACCCCCCAGAAACCTGTCTCCGGACACCCCACAAAGCCTTCCGATCCTGCCTCATCTCCACCCGTAGTTCACCCCTCGTTTTCCCTTGCAGAGCCTCTGGCCCCAGGTCCCCCCTTCTCTGCCCATTACCCAGGGGTCCCCCGAATTCCAGCGGGGCCCGGGAGCCCTGAGGGGCCATGGTCTCCGTTCCGCCTTGAGGTGGGAGTTGCAAAAATCCGTCAAGAAAACACACCCCACCCCATCCCCCGAGATGAGCACGGTGACGTGAGGGATCCCACTCCTCGGCACCTGCACCTGCCTGGGCAGAGCTGTGACTCGGAAAACCCTCCTCCCGAGGTCTTCAAATGGATCCGCCTCCGGCCCATCCTGGGCCCAGCAGACCAGCCAATCGGCTCTCGGGGGCGAGTCCCACACCAGCCTCAGATGCCGAATCATAAGCCTCAGCCTCACAACTCCACCCCCTCAAGTCCCGCCCCTACAAACATGAGGGAAGGGGCAGAACGTCTTTATTAGGCAGGTTTTGAGGCTAAAGGGGAAGGGCCACGCAAGCGAGAGGTCAGGGAACACAGGGAATATAGGTAGGGGCGGCCTACAAGCCCGTGCATGACAACAGCCGGGCCTAACCGCGCTCGCAGATAACCTCCACGACACTGGGTTCCATGGGCACTGGGTCTGGGCATCGCAGGGCAGCTGAGGCCACCACTTCATCTAGCAGCAGGTGCACAAGCTCCTCGTCAGCCACAAAGCGCCACAGGTAGAGCTGCAGGAAGTGGCAGTCCACCTGCACCTGCTGCAGCCCAAAGCGCCCAAAGGTACGCAGGCGCACACATTCCAGCAGCGTCTTCAGGCTGATCTTGATGATGCCGGTCAGCACGGACACCTGCAGGAAGGGACACAGGGATGCAGCTCCACAACAGCAGTTATTGGGAAGGGCACCCATGTTCTGGGCAGGGGCCAGGGAGACAACAAGATGCCAGTTGCTGTGAGGGTGTGGAAAGCCCCAGGCAAGGAGGGAGGGAGGAATACAAGATCAGCCCCATCATCTGAAGGGAAGTAGATGGGGGGCACCGAGCACAGAGATGGGGGTCAGCACTGATGGGGAAGGGGGACTTACTGGGTTAGAGGGAGAACACCAGGTCCCTGAGCATGGGCTGCGCTGGGGCAGAGACCAAGGTGTGAATAGGAATCTCTGGGGAGGACCCAGGACTACCGTGGGGACTAGTACAAGGGCCAAGGAGGCAAACTGGATCAGCACCCATACCAAGGTCAGGGCAAAGGGCCATGGGATGGTGACGGTGGGGCTCTGGATGGCCACTCACTTCTAGAAATATAGAGACTGGGGGGACAGGGTTCTAGGGCTCCCTGAGCCAGTGTGGGGCTGCTTCAGTTGACCTTTCCCAGGGCCCTTAGAAGGTGGGGTCACTGGGGACTTCGGACCTTGTTGAACTCAACAGGGCTGAACACGTCGATACGTTCAGAGAACAGCTTCTGGATGTTGCTCAAGAGGTTGGTGTCCATTGGGGCACTGGATGAGGGGTGGGAAACAAACATTCAGAGCCCACCCTGCACCGTTATCCTGTTGTCCTTTGTCCATTCCCCCAGGGCTACCCTGATCAGCAGACCTGGGTGTATAGCTGGGTGCATAACGGCCCTGCTGCCGAGAGCTGCTGTACACAGAGAAGGTCCTCTTGCTGGAGTCACTGCTCTGGGCCTTGCGAACACCCTCTTCGTACAGGAGCCCCACCTGGTGGTGGAAGGAGACACTGCAAGGAGGCCAGAGCACAGGGGACCTCCAGCAGTTCACCAGGTGCCCAGGGCAGGGGCCAGGGATGCCCTAAGTTACACACTCATTTGCTACAAGAGTCACATTTGTTACAAGAATCACAGATAGCCCAGGCCTGGTACCTAAATGGTACCCTGTCACTATTTAGAAAACTAGTGGAGTGGGGCAAAGGTGGGACACAAAGGGTTAATACTCAGGCTCTTATTTTCTGGGTGACTCTGGGCCTCAGCTTCCTCACAGATGAAATGCTGATGATGCCACAATCCAGGGCTGAGGAGGAATGAGGCCATGGATGCAGGCACTACCAGGCCCCCCCCCAGTCTACATCAGAGCTCCCCTCGCCAGCACCTGCACATCAATAGCCGTTGTGTCCTCCACCACCCGCTTCATGACAGCACGCACGTTCCGGGGCTCCAGGGTACTGAGCCAGTCCCGCGTCTCCACACTCTTGCGTAGCATCTGCGATATGACCAGGCCCTGCACCTTCACGTAGTGGGTCAGCAGCCGCCGTGCTGTCTCCCTGGCCTCTGCACACAGTGTGCTCACGGGTGTCACTGGAGACTGGTCCTAAACCAGGGATGCAGAGGACAGAAAGGCAGTGGGTACTGGGGAAGTTCAGGGGCCACTGCCAACCAGGACCTGGGCACAGGCTGGGCAAGGGAGAGGTTGGGTTGGGCACAGGCAGCTGGCCTGGGTCTAACCATGAAGGCACTGCCTAGCCTCCTGCATTCCCAGCACCACCACCCCCTACCCTGCTATGAGCTGGCAGTTCACCTGCACCAGAAACTGTTCATCAGTGAGGGTCAGGATGTAGGAGATGGTAGCTGTCTCATAGTCCAGGCAGAGGCGGGAGAGAAGCAGGAGCAGGGCAGGTGGCGTGGCACCCCCCTTCTCCCCGGGACTGTCACAGAAGCTCTGAGCCGTCTGGCACATGGACCGGATGAAACCCACAATGAGGCCCTCACGGACACCCTGGCTGCAGAACTCGCCCTGTGAGGAGGAAGGGCCCAGGTATACAAGAGGTTCCCTCTTCTAGGCAGGGGCTGCTAGTGAACCTCTGCTGGAACCCTAAATGCCCTGGCCCTTTGTCAAGGGATAGCTTCATCCCGCATTCTAGTACCCCAGAGCAGCTACCCTGCTTAGGGAAGGGACCAGTACTGGGGAGCCTGCTTGCAGATGCCATCAGAGCCTTCCCCACCCCTCTAGGCTGTGCCAGGCTTCCTCATGACAGCTCGAAACACCCAGAATGCCTGGGGGCAAGGACTGTGTGCCCTCATAGCTATCAATCTGCAGAACGAATTAAAAAATGCCCAGGGGCAGGCCATACCCGGAAGTAGGGCTTGTTGGAGAAAGACACCTCCTTGGCGGTGAAGAGGTGGACAGCAGCCAGCGAGGCCTTGATGTGGCTCAGGATAGAGCTGGCCACATTAGCCAGCAACTCGGCCAGGCCAGGGCCTTCCTTCCCAGCCAGGCGAGGTGCGGCCAGTGCCTGCCGGACATCGGTCAGGCAGCCCAGAAAGGCCGCCCGCAGGCTCTGTAAGTGGTGGCCCAGGCGCTCATAGGCCACTCGCTCCACAATCTCCGTGGCAGCCTCGGCCAGCCCAGCAGCAGCAAGCAGGGTGCCCGGTGCTCGCAGGCGCCGGTGGAAGCGGTCCAGTGCCCGCACCAGCAGCGAGTTGTCACTGCCACCCTGCTCCTGCGCCAGCCGCCTCTCCACCAGTGCAAAGTAGCGGCTGCCCAGCTCCCGGGTGAAGGCTGCCAGCTTCTCGGCACCTGCTGGGCCCTGGGCCGAAAACAGCTCCTGATAGGTTGCGGCCACCTGGCAGAGGCCACTGACAAAGCCATTGCCTCCTCGGTCAGTGAATTCTAACACATCAGGGGCCGGCGGGGAGGGCCCCAGCTCCGCCTCCAGGCTTCTCAGCTCTTCCTCCAGCCGCCCTCGGGCATGTGCCAGGAACTCCTCGCACAGCTCCTCGGCAGGCTCACCCAGGGCCAGCAGCAGCTCCACGCACTCGGCCTGCTCAGGAGCACCAGAGCCGCCCTCCCTGCCGGAGGAAGATGGCAGGGAAGAGTGGGCAGATAGAATTTGGGGTGAGGTTGTGGGAGCAGGAAAGCAAAGGGAAGGGGTCGGATGAGGGCCCAGGGGTCACACCTGAAGCGCTGCCGTAGCTGCTGGGCCAGGCGAGCCGTGATGACCTGGCAGTCATCCTGGATGGCACGGAACGAAGGCAGGTGCTGGTACTGCTGCAGCACGGCCCGCGCGCGGCCCTGGTAACGCACTGCCTGCCCATAGGCACCCAGTTCCACACACTTGGTGAGGCGCGAGGGCAACTCAAAGAGGAACTGCAGCTTCCGCAGCAGAGCATGGACCCCTGGGGGCGAGGGTAGGTGGTGTTAGCCCCAAAGCCCCGAGGGTGGCCTGCTTTAGCACCTTCTCTGGGGCAGGGCCCACCTGCCAGCTTGGTGATGCGCTCATGGCGGTCCTGCAGTGTGGCACTGATGCGCGCGCTGAAGTCCGTGATCACAGCCATGTTGGTGGCCAGCCGGTCCATCTCATCCTCCATCTTCCGGAAATCATTCTTCATCTTCCGAATGGTGTCTGGGAGGACAAGGGCGCAGAAGAGGGAAAGGAGATGGAGGCGGACACAGTTAACAGGTGCAAACTCAGCTTGAGAACACGGTACAGATGCTCACACACATGCCCCCTTCCCAAACTCCCTGAGCCCACTGCTGGAGGGCTGCACTGATGTTTGGGTGTGATGCAGGCTGCAATGGTGCTTGGTCACAGTAAACAGGGACATGGGGGGTATTATATCAGTGCAGCAGGTGTTTTCCAAGCACCCCTAGTGTGCCCCCACCCCTGGTACAGTGGGAACGTAGCTCATGGAGTCACAGTCCCTGCCCTCAGAATATACCCAGACCCAAAGGAGGCAGAGACCTGTCTGCTCCTTCCAGGGGCATCCTCAGTGCCCAGTGCACTGCCTGATCACTGGGCAGACAATAAATACTTTTCACCTTTATCTCCTTCAAGACTTCCCAAACCCTTTCACTCTCCTTCCAGAACACAGATCTTCTCTGAAGGGTCCTTTCCCTTTTGTCCGACAGAAACCTGCCTAAGGAGGATTCACACCCTGGCACTTCAGGGCCTGGTCCGTTAACTCTTCCAGACAGGCTCTACTCCTCCTCCCTTCAAGACTCCTGCTTCTTTGAAGACCGTGCCATCAAACTATAGTCCTCCTGTTGCTGTCCCTGCGGTCCTTTTTGCCACGCCTCAGTTCCTGATCATTGTCACCTCCTTGTGGACATCAACACCCCTGAGAATGAGCCTGTGGACATCCTTGACTCTGTTCTCTGACTTCCTCAATTCCATCCATTCTCACCTCTGCCTCATCTGTGCCACCCTCCCCTTGCCCTCAGCAAGAACTGCCTCCTCTAAAATCTCAGCTTCAAGCCTCTCCTTTTTCTGTAATTCCTATCACGCGCCCTGTCCACCCACTTGAACAATCCTTTGTCCTCTTCAGGAACTCCAGACCCCCTGACCCTG